CTCTGGATCCCTACGCATCTACTGCTCTATATTATCCAGACACCAAGAATAACCGGACCCGTCACAGTCATCTATCATTTTCATCGCTTTTTCATCGCTTTTCCTCAACGCTTGAGAGGGAAAAAAGTTAAAAAGCGCGCACCACACCCGAGAGTTAGCCAACCCACCACCATCACCGCAATCGCTACCATGTATCTCACAAGTATCCTTCTCGTCTTTCTGCACGCCGGCTTCTCATCAGCTGCACCGAAAACCCCCCCGAGGCTCTCAGCCCGTGACACGTTCACTCCCCCATCGGTCGTGTCGACCAGTTTCTCGGGCAGTGGGTGTCCGCAGGGTACAACAAACGCTTCAGCCAGCCTCTGGGAGAACTTCGCCTTCAAACTTCCGAGCTTCAAGGTCAGGGCCGGCCCCTCGAGCGCTGTCACCGAGAGGTCTGTTAATTGCCAAGCGCACATCAACTTGGGAGGCTCGACGGCAGGATGGCAGTTCGCGCTCAAGGAACACTGGTCGGAGGGCTATCTCGAGTTGGACGGCGCCGGTGTCACGCTCTCACAGTATCTTACCGTGTACTTCAGCCAGGATGCCGCGAACACTGTAAGCGTTTGTCCCTCGCGGCGTTTTATTTTACCCCTTTCTTAGATCTGCGTGTGCATATGGTAAATGCCGTCTCGAGAGGCCACTGACACACCATATCAGGCCACCACAGTCCAATCCATTCCCAGCAAGGATAACTCGACAGTCTCAAAAGACCTAAGCCTCCACACGACCATACCCGAGGCTGCTTTGATCTGGTCGCCGTGTAACGGTGGTGGCATAATAAACGTCAACTTCCGCATGGCATTTTCGGGGGCGACGGGCAACGTTACGGCGTACTACGGCGCAAACAAAAATTTATCCGTCAGCGAGCAATGGGGATGGACTTGGAGGCAATGTTAATGTAGAAGCCGAACACTTGGTCGTTTCCATTATGAGGATGCTGAAGCGAAAAGTAAAAGCCTAGTGTTTTCGAGTGATTTCTCTACAGCGTGTGAATTAGTCGCGGCAGACAGCATGGTCTCGTATTCAATATAGAAAAAGCTCCAAATGTGGCTCCCCTTATTACCACTTATACTATCGTCCGATTTCCCTGATCATTAACATCGAGTCGTAAGTCCGAAGCCCTCATGCTCAGGCGCCCAAGAGGATCTATTACAGGCGAACTGGCCAAAATGACGGGCGTAACGGTAGTTTTGGATACGAGACACATCTTAATAATAACATTCTAAATAATACACTAAACCCACCCAGTAACATGACAATAGCTGCGTGAATGGAAGCAGCTATGGTGGTGCAAAAGTACAGCGCGGCTAAGTTCAGGGCCTTGCCCACTGTGATCTTAATCAACCGGAATATCGAATATAGAAATCAAGGTGTCAATTCAGTTTCGCTGGCAGACGGGACTGCTCACTGATCTCCTCGACAAGATTCCGTTCTTCATGTGGCAATTCAGAGAGGGGTCGGTTCAAGACTTATTCGCGATAATACAGTTTGTTCAAATCAGACGGCCGACCGATCCGAGCACTTTGCGCACAGGAGACATGTTATGGTCTGCACTATCATGTCGAATGATGCTTGGATAATAGTTTTATTAGGTAATGATATCTTGCTGTGGTACTGCACCTAGTCTGGGCGCGGTTGTGACCACTTGTAAGCACGTCTGCGTTCCTTGCTTACATAACGATGTCGATAGTTCCCCTACGACAACCTACTTGCTTACTTCCTAAGTAAGTAGTTAAAGGTACATAAGTTGTTAATGCTGTGGTGTTGTAAGTCTCGCCAGTCCTCCATCCATATATAACGCACGCCATGACGTTGTTCCAAGGAACTCCTATGGTCATTGCAGATCCCTACCCCTGACCCATAGGCAGCAATCGCAGATGTCTTGGCCATTTCTTTTCCTTAAAAGGTATTAGATCCGACACGCATTAACATTCATCAGCCTCACTGGAGGGGGGAATGTGCGATGCAGAGTGCTCGTCGTATTAATCAACTCTCCTTGGTCCTAAATTTCTTGCATGGTTATTTGGTGTAAACCACTACGCCTTAGGTAACAGATACAATAGATGCCAAGGGAAGATCCTCGCCCAAGTAAGTCATTTGGAAGCTAAGGTTGTATTTACTATTATTTTTGCATCACGTCAGATCGAGACTAGGTGCCAAGGGAAATTTCATATACGGCGTAACCTTTACATCGTGCCGATAGCGATACATGAGTGAGTATATATGACGATGCATCCCCCGTACATTAACTGCTCTAGATTGCAGCACTCGCCAGCAGCCTATCTATTCTCCTTGTTAAGTATTCTGAAATTTATCGTGAGCTTCGATTCTCCTGCCTCGGAAACGAAGAGCCATGACGCCTCTTTGGCTCCCGTCTCCTGTTCAAGCCGCTGCTCTGGTCTTAGCAGCCACGGTCCAAGGAACATTTACACACCAAGGACCGGTTGAAGGGCGAGAATATCCAACGACTGGTATACAATGGCAGCCATGCCCGGCTGATATCAATGCCATAGCAGCTCTAGACGTTGAGTGCGGCACCCTTGCTGTGCCGCTCGACTACACAGCTGTTGATAGCACCGAAACACTTGAATTGTCACTCTTGAGAGTCCCTGCCGTCAAAGAACCAGCAAAGCATAGTATTTTATTCAATTTCGGAGGCCCGGGGCTCGAGGTTCGCCACTCACTAGCCCAGTTAGCCGAAACTCTCCTTGCGTAAGTCCCCTAGGTCTCAACAGCTTCCGGCAATGGGCTCTCGGATTGATCTATCTCGTCCTTTTGCCCGTGCTACTTTCGTCGGTCTGGAAGACAATATACCGACCAAGGTAGGGAATATATGATAATACGACGCATAGCTAACAGGAATATTTACAGCATCACTGGAGGTGAGCACGATCTGATCGGATGGGACCCCCGCGGAACAGCCAATACACTCACCTTCTCTTGCTTTGCCAACGCAACAGGCCGTGCTCAACTAGGTTCTCAGCTGGTATTCGGTAATGCCTCAGACGTTGCGCGTGGCCAGCTCTGGGCGGCGGGGAAGAACTACGCGGATGCCTGTGCAGAATATCCGGAAGCCCAGGAGAGGGCGCCGCTAATAGGAACGTCCTTTACGGCTCGTGATGCTATGCAAATTGTCGACGCCGTAGAAGATGATGGGCTACTAAGATATTGGGGTAAGACCCTTTCTGCTATCGAGAAATGAAGATGTAGCTAGACAGCTAATACACCGGAAACTTTTGTAGGATTTTCGTACGGCACTGACCTAGGAGCTACCCTAGCCGCTTTGTTTCCAGAACGCGTTGAGAAACTTATACTCGGTAAGAAACAAAATGGCTCACTTGGGCTACACATAAAATAAAGCGACTGATAATTCGTCTCAGATGGTGTCTTTAATCCAATCCAGTACTTCTATGAGAGGTAAGCTGATTCTCGTCGGAAGCCCTATCTATAGCGCCGCGACATCGTGCCATTAACACCGCCTAACCTAGGGCCGACTCGGAGGGCTTTGCATCTGCTGACGACACCTTCTCCGAGTTCTTTCGTCAGTGTGTCTCAACACCCGAAGTCTGTAATCTCGCAGGCAACCGTCCCAATGCTACGGCAAAAGAGCTCGAGTCGGCAACGTATGACCTCATCGACGAGCTCAAATACCGCCCCTTGGCCTACGATGGCCTCATCATTGGATACGCAGAGCTGAAGAGCGCCATTCGATTCGCACTATACGCCCCTTATACATGGCTAGTCCTTGATAACATCTTGGATGCTTTTCTTGCAGAGCCGCGAAACGAGACACTCGTTGGAGCCACAATCGAGAATTATCTATTTATGTCCTTTGCCGGGGACGCAGCTGCAGACGACGCTGGCATCGGTATCGAGTGTGTTGACAAGGCGCCCCGGTCGAATTCGTTCGATGTCATCAATGCTGCACTCGACTTATCCCAATCGGTCAGTCGCCTGCTAGGAGATGCCCTGGCTCCATTAGTTGCGACCTGCGCGCAATGGACGCTGGAGCCGCGGGAACGATACATTGGTGGATTTGCCAGGGTCAAGCCCCGAAAGCCCCTTCTGGTGATTGGAAACAGTTAGTCCGCTAGAATCATTATTTCCCCCTTTTGGCAGGTTTTGAGACGTCGTGGCTCCTGCATGCTCCCGAAACATGAGCTGAAATCTTACTCTTTTCGGTAACTACTAACTCCAGCGTGTAAACAGCGTACGACTCGGCCACGTCAATCAAATCGGCAAAGAACATCAGCGAAACAATCCAGGGCAGTGTCCTGCTCGAGCATGGTGGTGTTGGTGTATGTCACATCTCATCGAATAAATACCCTTCCTTCCCCCCATTCTCGTCTATTTCTCAAGCCGCTAACGACGAAACTGGCATTGAAACAGCACACGAGCATCCAACAACCTTCTCTTTGCACGGCCATGGCAATCCAGAACTATTTCCGTAATGGTACTCTGCCTGAACCCAACACCCTGTGCAACCCCGTCAATACCCCTTTTAAGTTTGCCGCATCCGGTCCAACATGGCAAGATCTATTCCCGCAGCTGGGCTTCGAGTTACCGAGCGCCAACAGCACCAAGGCCACCGACGTGAAGCGGCGGGGTCATATCGAGGACGCCCTCCAGTATATTGGCCGACGTCCAAACGGTGCTTTCTGGTAAACGAATGTAATGGTATGACGAAGGGAGCACCGTCTTAATCACGGTGATGCCCATTCATAATCTGAGAGGAAGTCATGTTTTATTTACTTTCGAATTAAGACCGTATTTATTACTTTATATTCTACGTCCAGTTTGTTGGTTGTATGGCAATAAACTAACCAACCAACCCCCTTTGCATTCGTGTTGTCCTAAAGTAGCCCTGGTTTTAGTTGAGTAAGGTACGCAACCAATACCTATCTATCATTTAGACCACTTATCGCGCTGTACTAGGCCCGTATCTCATCTAACTCGGCGCCCTGGTAGCTCAATTAGTTAGAGCCTCGGAATTTTGTAGGTTTAGACCTATAGCTGTGCTGTCCGAAGGCTGAAGCTAGGTTCGACCCTGGCCTGGGGCGTTAATGGTAGTTGTATGGTTGGGTGTTGGGATGCCTTTCTTTAGCTGGCTAGCTTAATGGAAGAGGGTACTGAGTAAAACAATCGCTAGCTACTTGCTAGACAATAGCATTCTGTTTAACAAGAAATCATTGATTGTTTATAAGTAGATATTAAACATGAGTTCGCCATGCATTGGTTTTTTTTCATAAAATAAACCGGTGTCGTAGTTGAAATAAAGAAAAGGATCGATCTACTACTACCCCTTAGCTTATATTCAACATCTAAGGAGCCGTTAGTCAATCTACTAATAATTCATCTGTCCACCTATCAACAAGCACAATTCTCCCCCCCTCTCTTACCGCTGGCCGAAATAGTTTAATCCAGTTTGGTTCGCCATCAATTGAATCCCATTCTTCAATAACCCGTGCGGTAACACCTTCGTATGCTGCTGTATAGAAGCTGTAGCTTTGGAGCCCAGCAAGCATCAATGTCTTGAGCTGCAGGTGGCAACCCATCACCCTAGCTCTATCTATCACCTGAAATTTGCTAAGACATCTTCGCTTCGTGTTCAGGTCGTGACTATAAATCCGCAAGTCCAGGAATACACTTTCGAGATTTGGCATCCGGGACCACGACAACCACAGGTGAGCTGACCTGTCGAGATCGATCGCGTTATTCAAGGCTTCGGTCTTTCTCTCGTGGTCGGCGGATCCTCCCAGGATTAGGTTTTCAGCGGTTACCTGCATAAATGTTAAGGGGGAATGGACTGCGATGTGTCGAAGGTGTCGGTAAATGGGCACCGAGGCCGAGCTAGCTCCCATTTTCACAATATGGATTGGCTCATCATCAAATGGTAGGATATCCTTCAATCCCTGACTGCGAAGGGGCAGAAGTTTCCCCCGATTGTCTCCCAGTGCCTTTTTAACCATGGCAGTCGGGATATCACTGGTACCGAGAGTAAAAACATGGGTATGGCTGCGGTAAAATTGTCTCGTGTGTTCCGAGGAGAGTTTGACGTCAAATGCAAATGCATTTGGATCGAAATCTGCCACAGGAGTGAGTATATGATCGTGTCCATGGCCAAATTGGTGTGAAAGAGTACCAACCCGAAATCCCATACCCCGTATATATGTCACGATTCGGGTAATTCCTAACAATCTTTCGATCTTGGGCGTTTCATGTCCGCAGATGCTCCATTCCGGGACTACCATATTAATACCACATACGGGCGACGCTAATAAGGTTTGCGAAATAACCATTACCATGATTTCGAGTGGAAGACATGTTGCTCTTTCTGTCTTCCTTTTCTTTTGGCTATTAAGAACTCCATCTTCTATGGACAGGAGCTTAGTCTCTTGACTGTTGGCTGAAGGGATATTGGCGGCAGAGTTGTTGAACCTGTGAGAACAGATGTTAGCTGCATGAATACTTGGGCGCATAGCAACAAAAAGGTCTACAGCAGGTGGTGCACGGTAGAGGCCGATCGACAATGTGCAAGGCCTTGGCCCTTCTTATACCGGGGGTCCCGCGTATGGCTGGAGAAAGAGGACGAATTAAAACACTATGCGTCGAATAAGTAGTGTTTGCCAGAGTGCCAGACAAAGAGCTTTGTTTCCCTAGCCCGGCTATTCGACCCAATCATGATATTGGCAATGCCTGTCTTATCTTACACGAATAGAAAAGGCTGCCCGGGCAACAGAGAGAGAGAAAACACGAGCATCAAGCACGCCGTCTCATCATCATCCTCCTTTTCCTCTTAAGATAGGCCGTAATCTCGAGTCGGATTTCTTCCATCATTCCATCGTATCGCCGCTCTTGCCATTGTTCGCCCACCATTATTACGAGGACAGCCGACAGTTTCTGCTCCGGAAGTGAGCTCTTGTCAAGGCTTAGTTCTAAGACTTCTCCCAAACGACTACTGGGGGGAAGTCTCTTTGTTGGTCTCGAGCCGTGGTTTTTACGATACTCCTGGACTACATGAAATGGCCAGTTCAACTTCATTAGGTGTCTAGAAGCTAGAGACGGTAAGTAAGCTTGGGGGTTTGTATTGCCAATAACCAAGTTGCCCGTAGATTCGATTTGAAAGGTGCGGTGATAACTTATGCCTCATGCTGCATAATGTATACCTATGTTAATTCCCAACCCTGTAACTGACAGGTAAATCGAATAGGTTTCAAGTATGCCTCCTAGAATTACCCAACGGTATACCCGGTAACCACTAGGTACCTACATGTAGGTTCCTTTGTAGGTACCGTGTACCGTGTACCGTGTACCCTGTGCCTGCCAGTTCTAGTCTGAAGCCCTATGAAACTGGCGGTGCATTGTCTAGCTCTGCCACACCGCCTTCCAATGTTTCTGCCGCCTTCCTGCTCCTGCCTTGTTCGTTCGTTGTCCCTGCCATCACCATCCATGCCCCCCTCTACTCTATCATCACCCCACCCACCAAAGAACCAACCAACCCTCTATTATTCTTCCCCTCTGCTGCTACTAGGTACTGTCCTCTCTCCATCTTTCCTTTACCTACTCCCTTCCACCTCGCCAGGTCATTCTTATTTCTGCACATTACTCACCACCCCCCATCCATCCATCCATCCATCCATCCATCCTTCTGCCTAGTCCAACCTCAAACTCTCTCTGCTGAAAGGTAAGAGCACTCTCGCTTTCTATCCTGGACCTTCCCAATCTCTCTCTCCCACCAAAGAAAACATCACCTCATCCTCCCCCGCTGCTGCTGAGGCATCCTGGGTAAACAAAGCTCTTGCGTCCCACACCCACCCTCTTCGTCTGGCCACCTCCACGCCTGGAATAATCAAACACCGCGTCTCGTCCTCTATATCCCCAAGTACTCCCCTGGCCTTATCGGGCTCAGGACTCATGCTAATGGATAGGCCATGCTCAGATGGATTCATTCTCCGACACACCCACAACCTTCGTTACGCCTAAACAGATATGGCCGCCCACTCAAGATCATCATCGTCCCTCGCTACCTCTCGGAACATCTGGCAAGTCCTCCTCCCGCTATGCTGACACCTTCTCGCCTAGATCACCACGTCATGCTCCCAAAGTAGTCTCCAGCCCCAGAAAGCGTACTCATACTCACGCCTCCAAATGCCTCCGGCTCCTCGCTCAGCACAACCCAGTCGAATGGGAAGACATTGGGAGAGTTCGCCAGAGTGACCTGTTCTGTTCGACGGCATCGTTCAGTTTTGGTTTCCTCCACGTGGCGCCCCACAACTCTGCGGATATTAAGAGGATTAACAGCTAGAACCCGCCGGACGGCCCTCGGCTGATGGAACCAAAGGGCGACTTGTGCTTGCACGAGTCGCGCCTCTGCTCTCGCGTCACGTAGTGGTTGTCTAGAGCAGTGGAGCGGCTGAGCAAGGCGAGCTCTCGTATGAGAGTTAGCTGAGGAACCCCGGAGTCTGGTACAGTGAGTCCCTGGACCCCGAAACCCGAAACTGGCAATGTCGTGCCGGTAGTTGTACCCTCGACTACTTCTAGGGCAGAGGGAGGGAAACTTGTCGTCTATATGGCGGGGAGCGCTCTGTCTGTTGTCGAGTTCTTCGGCGACGGTGAGTGGTGTTATAGCGCGGCTGCGAAAAATGGCAACCGTTCTTGAAAGCCAGGCCCGGTCTGTTAGCTTGCGGGCGCAGTCGCGGTTGGATAAGACCTATTAGGAGAGGCGGGAGCCGTGGTAGCTAGGTTCGCCTGGATACCTGGGCATATTGGAGGCGAAACGGATACGAGCATGATGTGGGGAGACTCGTAGCTTGCCGTTGCCAGAGTGAAGGCCACCGCGCAAATTGCTGCACAGGGATCTATTGTGTCAAGAAGGATTGTATTACCTCTACTACTATCCGTCGACGTGGGATGATCTCGAGAACAAAACTGGAGCTCGCTATCCTGGTGTGTACTCCTCTACTTCCACGAAGAGAGTCAACTACACTACCCAACGCTGCCTCCATACATATTACCACATAAGTAGGCAGTAGTTACCATAAGATAGAGGCAAATATGTCATGAACAATGCTGTAATCATCCATGACATGAACCATAGTATGCGGTAGGCAATAAACTCTTGCTGTTTGCACGAGGGTCTTTTTGTCTCTATGCCTTGTGACAGTCCCCGTCTGGCTTTCAACAAATGAATCTCTATATGGTTTGCCATTCATTGAGCGAAAGATCCCGGCAGAGAGCAGATATATTTACCCCGGCACTAATTCATTCGCGAGCTTGAGACAGGTCCTATGGTTGCCGCCATAGACATGGCGTATGGATTGTATAATGTGCCAATAAACAATTTCGCCAGAGTTACACGTCAAAGTGCTAATTTATTATATCTTTAATCAATGACTTAAGGTATTCCCAAGGTCTTGCTTGTACCTGTCCCTAGTTCGCCATGCAACATAAGCATCCAATCATTGCACAGCATAGAATGAATGATTAGAAGGCTTCCAGGACAAGTAAAGAATACCTAATTGCTAGATTTCTTAGATTTATTAGCTTATCTTAGAAAGTTTCTTTTTCTACAGCTTTAACAATGACCCTACATCTCATGTTTTTACACGCAACCAATCCATTAAGCCTCTTTGCCTAGTTGCATTCATTTGTTTTAAACCTACTCACTCATCTGTCCTCTTAATTATATTCACGCATTGAATATAATCTGCCTAGCTAAACTTGGTTGTTGTGTATTACCATGGAGTTACGGCTAGGTGCCGAGGGGGACTGGTGCAAACCCCACATTAGTCATCCGTCCGTAAAGACAATCTACATCACGTGACTGATACTCACATGACCACTAGTCACCTGACCTAGCCCCACACACCTCATCTTATCAGTCACCTGACCTGACCCTACATACCGCATCCGCAATCTATTATCTTATCAGTCACCTACCACCTAGCCCCGCACCTCATTCGTACCGCACCCTCTACCTACCTAGTTTAGTTGCCTTCGATCAAAGTCCGCAATGCAAGCCTTAGATTCCTCACTTTTCTTTTTATTAGCAAGGTCTGTG